ATTGCAGACCCATGTTTGCAAGTGGATGCGTTGAATCGCGCATGATATCCTTAGCAGAATGTGGCCGATTAAAGAAACGACATCGTGATTCTTCAGAAAATTGTTGTAAATCAGTGGAGCAGATCATTGATGATCGAGAAACAAATACAGGCAATTCTTATGATGTAAAAAATGTTGAGATCAAAGAAAAAAAAGATGCAAGAATGCCTAAAAAACAACGACCGCATTCAGAAATCGGATCATCTAATTTTAATAATTCTTCAATTGATCACGAAATCCAAACAACAATTATTCATGACGATAACAATAATGCAAGAACGATCACATTACAACATAAACATGAACATGAAATTCCAGATACAGATAAAAATCAGGAAAGAGGAACTTCTTCACGAAACAATCCTAGAATAGATGGTCGGGAGGTTGAAGTAGATGATGACGATGAATTTTATCAGGAATTTCCTCCAGGTTATTATCATGTTGTCAATATTACAGATTGTGATCCACAAACTTTCTGTGCGTTGCTTCACTATCTCTATACCAACGAGATCGACTTTTCAGAGCCCGCTGGAACGGCAAAAATTACGTCGCTCGTGCATCTTTTTCGACTGGCCGACAAATATCAAATAACTGATTTGCGACAACGCACGTTAGCTCGGATATACAAAGAATTGGCGATATCCAATGTGGCAGAAGTACTGTTCAGTTTAGGTCATCAATGGATGGATTTAAAAAGAGTGTGTATGGATTACATTTTAAAACACTTTACAGCAATCAGAGATACAGAAGGATTTAATAGAGTATTCGATCATCCTGAAAAGTATTCCGGATTCAGCGAAATTGCCAGGGAACTTTTCAGAAGATTAAAAACTTCTGAAGAAAAAGAACTATAAAAAATTTTTTCTTAATAAGTTAAACTATTTTTAGAAAGTAATTTTTCCTTAATTATTTGAAAAACTCCAATTTTGTTTACTACCTCTTTGTAATTTATGTTTTAGATGAGGTCAAATCGATAAATAGAAATGTTTAAATAGAATTCCCCCAAAAATTTTATACACTGTTAGCAACTTATGAGCACAATTGCAATAGGATGTATTGATTGTTTGTTTTAGTGAAAATGAAACCATTCAGAATTTATACGGACATAACATCTGTGAACATTGATAAAGAGTGTGTAGCAAATCCTGTTAATTATATTTATTTCTACCAAGGAAATAAATTATGTACAAAATACATACCGTTCATACAGGGAATACTGTTTCGAT